AGATGCTCCCTTAACGAACATTTCATTGTAACGAGATAACGGATTTGAAAGAATCGTCAACATTTGAAGTCGTTATGTGCAAAACGATAATATATATTATCGTTTTGCACATAACTACTTCAAATGTTATGTACATGACTTGTACAGTCATTTGTCGGTTTTGAGACAGGATTTGTTAGAATTTGACCTCGCTAACCCACACAAATCCGGAGATCATTAACTTTAATTGACGTTATAATATCTGGTCTTACAGTGTGTGAGAAGTTGCCATGAGACGGAGCCTGAGGTTTTCCCATGTTGTCTGATCTCGGGCTCGCTCTCTTTTCTTGTGCGTTCACAGAGTCTGCTGAGTGCAAGCCGCAGTCTGAAGCCAACGTGTATTTGGCCGATGATTCCGCCAAGCACACTATCCTAGCCAGAATACGGGCGCCGGTCAATATTACTCCGAATCCAAACGCCATTTCGATCTTTCTAAATTGGTTTTATACTGATGGCAAACCAACCCCTGTTGGTCACTCGGAGCTGACATTCAGCAGTAGAGCGTCCAAATCCTCGGACTACGTGATAGCCACCCAATCAGACCAGGACTATTGGAATAGCGCGTCTGCAGCAGCCTATGGCAAGCCGCGCGTCATCGACGTAAACTTTGGCAGGTGGACACATCAGCCGTTTTGCAAGGTCGCCGTTCGGATTCTTCGACGCGGTGTCCCGCAGTTGCGCGACCCTCGGTCGCGGTACACTGCCGCGGCGCAGGGGAATTCCCGTGTGCGTGTGGCCGTGCTGAGCTTTGCAGTTACCTCTCCCGCCACTGGTCTGTCAAACCTGTCGGTCTGCGGTGGTGATAATGCAGCCGTAGTGCAGAGACTATCTGTTACTCGTGTATCGAGCAGCGGAGGAGGGCTGCAGTTTGCACTGGATGCCGATTTCACTGGAGTGACCGACTGGTCCTTGGTAGCGCGCATCGACCTCTGTATGGAAGACAATGCACAGAATAAGACGGCATACAATAGACCGTATCTCTACACTGCTCTGCACAATGCTCGGTCAAACACCAGCATTCATGTTCAATTCGTAAACGGTAAGTGACCATGCCTCTTTCTAATCTTTCATATCTTTTTTGCCACATGTTATCCCATATCAGGGCCACAGCCAGCTAAAACATGTCTTAGGGTGAAACATGTATTCCAGAAAATTGTCATTTTGCTTGCCAGCTGCTTGGACTAGACACCCAAGTAAGTGTGAGAACGAAGTTCGACAAGATGCTCACACCGCCGGTTGATGAATGAAGCACAGCATGCACGTGCTTGACAGAAACTATTCTTCATTCCGTCATGCCTCCAAAAATTACCAACCCCAAAGACATGTTTTAGCTGACTGCGGCCCTGAGACATATTATTTTAATTTTTCATCATAGCTTCGGAGCTGTGGCATCATTCATGATCAACAGCAAGAAGGCAGAAATGCCTGTACCTATAGTGAAGTAAATGGGGACAACGATACATAACATGCTGTGGCGACTAGAAGACAATATAATGAAATCAACATCAGCAGGGGGGTTTTCAGTGTATGACTCAAGCAATTTCATTTTTGGCGGTTAGCTTCGTCTGCCGATCGTTCTATCGGGTTTTGCGTTGCAGCTCTTTAGGTACAGATAGGGTTGAGCAGTGGATGTGAGAGTGGTATGTGCAGGTGCAGTGGAGGTATCAGTCGCTTCTTGTGTCTGAGCGTGTGTGTGTGTGTCTCTCTCTCGCACTCTCTCTCTCTCTCCCTCTCTCTCTCTCTCTCTCTCTCTGTGCGTCTCTGTCTGTCTCTGTCTGTCTTTCTTTCTCTCCCCCTCTGTGCGGCTCTCTCTGTCTCTCTCTGTCTCTCTCTCTCTCTCTGGCTCTCTCTCTGTCTCTCTCTCTCTCTCTCTCTCTCTCCCCCCCCCCCTCTCTCTCCTCTCTCTCTCTCTCTCTCTCTCTCTCTCTCTCTCTCTCTCTCTCTCTCTCTCTCTCTCTCTCTCTCTCTCTCTCTCTCTCTCTCTCTCTCTCTCTCTCTCTCTCCCCATTTCTCTCCCCCCCCCTCTCTCTCTCCCCCCTCTCTCTGTGTCTCCCTCACTCTCTCTATCTCTCTCTCTCTCTCTCTCTCTCTCTCTCTCTCTCTCTCTCTCTCTCTCTCTCTCTCTCTTTCTCTTTCTCTCTCTCTCTCTCTCTCTCTCTCTCTCTCTCTCCCCCCCCCCTCTCTCTGTGTCTCCCCCACTCCCTCTATCCCTTATTGCAGATGTAAGCTGTGCAGCTGGTTCCCATCAGTGCTCCGTCGACAGTCAGTGTGTGGTGCAGTTTCACAGGCGCTTCTGCCAGTGTCAGCATGGCTTCTCTGGACCAACCTGCACAAGTAAGTGGGAATCTGTCCATGAGGCATTCCTGTTGCTGTAATGACGATAAGGGATCAGCACCGGTGTTTTTATTTATTGGGATACACCAAACTCTCACGTTGCTATCAGCATGCTGAGCAAGGAATCTATTTCCCCCTGGTAAGGTCCCATCCCCCTGTGTGATGGTTACATCAGGTGCGTGCGCCGTATGGGTTCCTGGGTGCCCGGAACCCCCCCCCCCCTTTTTCGCTCAAAATGCAGGATTTTGCTTCATTTTTTGAAAATTTTCCCGGGGGAGGCCCCGCAACCCCCCTTGAAGGGCACCGGCGCACGCGCGTGTGTAACATTACCCTGTATAAGGGTTTCATCCCTCTGTTTCAGGGTTCTATTCCTTTGTAAAAGGGTTCCCATCCTTTGTATGGTGTCATTCCCCGTAATTATAAAGGTTCGAAGCAAACACTGCTGCACTGGTTTGTTACTTCTTGTGCTACATCGAAGGACGGTACACGAAAAACTGAAAGCACCAAGTGAATTGGTTGCTTCTCCTGTTTCTGGTGTGGGTGGGTGGGTGTTAATCCGGCTCCCTGTCACAAGGGAGCGATGTGGCCCCGTGGGGCAGTCATGCTATAGTAAAACAGTTGAACATCGATTATCCGACCACCTCTGGGCAGACAACTGTCAGGCGGTGTTCAGATAAGGCAAATGTTCCGGATAAGAAAAAAACTGTCACTCACACACTTTCAGTGGTTATTACTAGCCGCACGATCTTTTTACTTTTTACTTTTCAAAATTTTCGTATTTTTTGAATGGCTCACTACATGCACAGTGCGTACTCTACGGCACGTGTGCCCAAAAAAACTGTTACGGATAATCGAATGGTCGGATAGTCGATGTTCAACTGTAGTAGTACAGCAAAACCTGGTGAAAGCGACCTCTGTGTTTAGCGACCACCTGCTCTTAACGACCGTTTTTCCATGCACCGACAGTTCTACACAGACACTGTAGGACCTGGTTCTAAAGACCACCTGGCTTTAACGACCGCATTTGCTTGCACCGTGGGGTGGTCGCTTAAACCAGGTTTCACTGTTGTAGTAGTGGTAGTGGTAGTAGTAGTAGTATCAAAGAACTTTATTCCCGTAGCTATGCAGAAAACGTTACTTCAGTAACGTCTGGCGCTAGCCAGGGTCCACACAGCTTTAATTTGGTGTTTGTTTGTTTGTTTGTTTGTTTGTTTGTTTGTTTGTGTCACGCCTGGCGCTATCCCGTATCTGTCCCGTACTGTACCGTACCAGCAAAGATAGCTGGCCACAATCTTTTTGTTTGTTTGTGCCATCGACATGCCTGGCGCTATCCCGTACCTGTCTCGTACCATTAAGAGTACGGTACCATCAAGAGAATGAGTATATATGCGAAGTGTATCGGGGGAATGCATTCAGTGCAGTAACATTTTGTGTGGATTTGTGTGCGAGGCCAAGATCCCACTAGCAGGCTGGCTGAGCTGCCTGTCGACCAGCCCGGGAATCGCATGTAGGCGTATAGCATAATAATTATAACGTTTATACAGTCATGTAGATGTATAGCAGGGAGTCATATTATGTAAACGACTCCCTGCTGTGTGGGGAGATTTTCTGGAAAGAAATACGAAGTAGGGAGACGAGTAAATGCAATCAGAATGGATGTTAGTTGCCGTCAGTATAATAACAAGAAGAAGATAAACGCCCGTGATCGGCAGAGTCAGCGCCGGTCCCAGGAAACTTCAGGACAGACATCCCGTCGACTCTAGAACGCCCGTGATCGGCAGAGTCAGCGCCGGTCCCATAGCTATGCAGAAGACGTTACTTCAGTATCTCATTGAAACGGTTTTCGAATCCAATGATGTAGCTAATCAAAGAAAAAAGCATTTCCATCAGTTCTAACAACATGCACGAGGAGCTAGGCAACGAAGCATAGCGCAGGGCCCTGAGCTTCCAAGCTCTCTCGTTGAAAATCCATGATAACGTGCTCGGAAAGATGATTGAAGAAAAATCCAAAGTCAACCCAGGCAAGTAGTAGTAGTAGTGATAGTGGTAGTAGCAGTGTGTTTGTTTGTGTGTGTGTGCTCCGTCCTTGTGCTAGGTTGGCATGGCAACACTGACCAGTGCCATGGCGACGGGTACATTGTGGCGTTGCCAGAGCACTCGGTGTACGGCCGCAATAACAGAACGGCAACTCAGGCCATGGTGGCGTGCTCCGCTTACGGACTCGCCTTGCCGCCCAGTAGCACCCCATGTCTTCTCTCCGTCCTGAATCTCTTCGCTGAAACGGGCATCGATAAACAGTTCTTCATCAATAATGGGAAGACTCTCGTTGACTATCAAGGTGTAACCAGCACGCCTGGTCCTCTGGATATGGGACTGGTGGTCTGTTCTGGTAAGTGCCACTCAGCTGTTGGTCGGTGGATGGTTGCAGCGATTTGTTTGTATTTGTGCGTGTGTGTGAGTGTGTGTGTGTGTGGGGGGGGGGTATGTGTGTGTGTGTGTAAGAGTGAGGGGGGGGGGTGCCGCGTGAGTGTGTGTGTGCGCGTGTCTGTGTGTGTGTGTGTAAGAGTGTGTGCATACCTGCTGCCAGCTACATTTAATGGGCACTTTGTAGGATATACTGTAAAACTGGTATCTTCTCGACGGCAGATCGCAGCGACAGAGGCGAGAAGTATTTTCTCGTCACAGCGGTTTTTTCTTGTGTTTTTTCTCACAAGTGAGCAGTCATCTGATCAATTTCTTTTTACTCGTACATCTTCACATGTTCTCTAAACCGCTGCGCATGAGCACGACTGGCCAGTCGTCTTGAGGTACCCACCCTCCCTCCCTGCTATTTGTACTTGTCAGATTAGCCGCTTGGGGTTTTACACCCGGTTTTTTCCCTAAAAAAATAATGCGTCCGCCGGCGCGAGGGTTTTTTCCCGGCTGGCTCGGCCCAGACGAATTAATCTGACGGTCCCAAGTGGTGCTTCTGGTTTTCGGTCATTGCTCTCTCAGTTGCTGCCATTGCGTTGCTTTCATAGAATATCCATGTGCTCTGTCCCTTCTTCCGCTATTCTACAATTCCGCATCCTTCCATGTAAAAGAACGTGGTGTCACACTTTTGGCCCTCCTAACCGCAAAACAAATGTGCTGTTGTTTGGTGTGTAGCGAGTGTGGCTTATCGCTGTGCGAGAAACGATAATTTCGGTGTAACTTTAATTTCGGTGATTTCGGTAGTGAAAACCAGACACCTAAATTTAGATTACACCTAAAAGACACCAGAGTACACACTGTATGTGAAGGGAATGCTGGTCACCTAATTCTAAATTACACCTGAAACCTGGCAGGTCCCTGACACCGAAATTTTGATGCACCTAAAATTACATGTTTTACAGTACTGCATTGGAAAAATGGTTCATCATCATCAGTAGCATATTCTGAAAATCCCATTCTTTGTACATGTACCTGCGTCGATGTCTTCCGGGATGCGAGCTCTTCCACTGGTGCCATTTGCAGACGTGCGGCGACCCCGTCTCGGTGGCCGTTCTGCAGGATGTAGTCTGAGATTAGGTGTATGTAGCGCAAAATTCCAGACCTAATTCTCCTACCCAAAAGCTGACCGGATACGGTAGGCCCATCGTCTCATACATAAGCTGGCGGTACATTCAGTGCACACCTCTCCGTTCCGGATCAGGCGAGCCGAAATGCCCTGAGCAGTCCCTCTTCCCAGCGTAACATTCTCACACTTTCTCTCCCGTGTTATGCTTCCAATCCTCTCGTTTCCCACAGCCGATGTCTCCAAAGAGAAGCTCGTCTCTGCCAGCTGCAATGGCGTACTGTACTACGTTCCCAAAATCGCCTCTTCCACCGTGCCGTCGGCCGTGGGTTGGACCACTGCAAATTCAGCTTGCCGTGGTAGTCTAGTCGTGTCCTCCACATTGTCACCATGTGCTATTTCTTTTGCCAAGAAAGTCAACACTTTGTTTGGTGTGGATGAGTCTAAGGTCTGGTCGTCTGAGCAGGACGTGTCCATCAATCTCAGGGCTGCTGCCACTGCTGATGCAAGCCTGACTTCGCCAGAGATCCCTGCATCTACTCTCCTGGCACTGTGCGAAAGTAAGATATGAATGTGTTTGTGTGTGTGTGTGTGTGTGTGTGTGTGTGTGTGCACATGTGTGTGTGTGTGTGTGTGTGTGTGTCTGTCTGTCTGTCTGTCTGTCTGTACATGTGTATTATGTCTGTCTGTGCATGCGTGTACATTTGTACATGTGTGTTTGTGCACGCGTGTGTGCATATTTTGGCTGCCTTTGTGCTATTATGGCGATATTGGTCAAATCCTAAGCTGTGTTTGTGTGTGTGCATGTATTTGTGTGTGTGTGTGTGTGTGTGTGTGCATGTGTGCGTGCATGTGCGTATGCATCTGTCTGTCTATCTGTCTACGTGCCTTTCTGTGTCTGTGCATACCTGCTGTCACTCTCCGCGTTGCTCCACAATGCAGACACGACGGTTACATGTCCCGTGCCTACGGCGAGCGCTTATGTAAGCTCGTCAGCTGCCACTTCCGCTCCAGTCCTGATTCTACGACCACCTGCGGGATACGCCAGCAAGGGCCCTATCTTGTACAGTACTGATGGCCTCCTCAACGTTCAGCAAACATTTGCCATTGCCCCTAGGGATCCAGTTACAGGCACTCACCTTCTCTCTCTCGTCAACCCGAGTCGTGGTGTGGATCACAAGTTCGGAGTTGTATTTGAGGGGAGCAATGGCGGGCGTTGCAGGCAGATAATCACCACACAGAGCAGAGCCTCCCCGAAACTCACCAACGGGGGAGGTAAGATCTCCATCATAGCCGACCATCCCCTGGAAAACAACACACTGACTACCCTGGACGTAGCATTGTCCCCGCCCGCAACCGCTCTCTCGTCGGTGAAAATCTGCTGGACCGACAACCCGCAGCTATCCCCGGCAATGACGATAGCCAACTTGTCCACCGCCAGTCAGATCCGTTTCAAAGTCAGCATCAACCTGGTGGGCATTGCGGATGCGTTCCAGCGGACACTGCACGTAAACGTTGGCCTGTGCGTGGAGGACAACGCGAGGACGGCAGCCCAGGACAAGACGCACGATGGGGTGGTGCTGGAGAATGCCGCCGCTAAGTACAGTCTCGACATTACAATCAAAAAAGGTATGGGAAACGCAAAGTGCATGCATTCATGGTCCTTTGCACAAAGTCTGCATTCATAGACCCTTGCACAAAGAATGCATTCATGTACCCTTGCTTTGCCGTTGTGCTGTTTGCAGGTGTTTCAACATTCACTGAGCTACGCAGTTAGCTATTATTGCAGATGTATACGAGTTGTGCGCGGAAGTACAGTCGACACCACGACTAGCGAACTAGCGCATAGCGAATATTGTAATAGAGAACCATTGTCCATGTCCCAGTTTGAACCCATACAAAATTGGCCCTTGTAGCAAACCATTTTCGTTTACAACGAATCGTATATTAGAGCAATGTACTGTAAAGTGAGAAATTTTCGCAAGAGATTAAATTATTTTCGCGACCATCACACATTCGCGAATATAAATCACCGCAAACCCCTCCGTGCATTGATTGTAGACAGTACAAGATCCGACTGAAGAGATAGAATCGCAAAAGTTTCTCATCGTAAACCAGCCCAATTTATGAAAACGCTAAATTTGCGCGCCGCGAAAGTTTGTCGCTTTACAGTAACACGTAAGTGAACTGGAAGTTATTACCGAATTTTCCTGAGTTCAGGCCGCACTTAAAACACCAGTCATTCGCCCGAAAAAATCAGCGTGGCTTAAGGCCGATTCATACTTCATGTCGGGTACGGGAAAGTGATCGCGCGACGGTCGAGCGATGACTTTCCCGTACACGAAATAGTTGAGCTCAGATCAACTTTTTCGCGATGCGACGCGTTTCCCGTACGCGAAATGAAGTATGAATCGGCCTTTATACTTCGACGGTCAAATTAACGGAAAAAACAGGTAGATGTCTATGCTTTATGACAACAAATCAGGGTGCGGCTTATACTCCAGAAATATCGTTTGTATAAGCATGTGCTACTGAAGTGGCTGGAACGTGGCTCCGTCAGACGTACTGCGTCATCGTGTGACAAATTGTGCCTGGTGACTAAGCCCGGCGTGGGAATAAAGTACACCGGGGAAACATTGTCCTGTGATTCTACTGACTTTGAAGCGTGTGTGTGTGTGTGTGTGTGTGTGTGTGTGTGCATGTGTCTGTACATGCATCTGTACATGCATGTGTACGTGTGTGCTTGTGTATGCGTGTGCATGTGTGTGCGCGCATGTGCATGAACGCACGTGTTCATGTGTGTATGTGCGTGTGTGTGTGTTCATGTGTGCGTGTGTGTGTGCATGTGTGTGTGTGTGTGTGTGCGTGTGTTCATGTGTGTGTGTGTGTGTGTGTGTGTGTGTGTGTATTTACATTGCTTCCTGCAGTCGACGGCTCTCCGTTGTGCTCGTCAGCAGTAACTCAGTTTGTCACACTGGTTGAGGAGTCACCAACCGGCACACCCGTTGCCAGCCTTCCACCACCCACCCCTGACACTTTTTTTGCTGGTTTCGAGCAGAACCCGGCACATCCGTTGGTGGATCATTTTTCATACTCTAGCTCCCTACTAAAGACGGCAGTGTATAATGCGGAGAATGGGGTTACAGTCGGCCAGCCATTCCAAATGGAGCTAACTTGGATGCCACAGTCGCTGATCGCATGTGCAACGCTGGTGGTTGTGAAACGACGCACCGCGCCGCGCGTTTCCAGCGGCTTGCCATTGTCCGGCACTGTCCCCGTTCAACCGAGCCTCTCCGCGCGGTTCACGGCTGCGGCTTTCACTGTCGACGTGTCCGCGCCAGCGACGGGCTTGAGCAAGTTCACGGTGTGCGCCAGCAGCAACACCACACTCCTGTCGCATTTCAGCCTTGTGCAGAGCGTCGGCAAACCTGGCACCTATGAGCTACAGGTAGACTTTACTGGTCTCACTAGTGTCTATGCACAGGCTATGCAGGTCAGATTAGACCTGTGCCTGGAGGATAACTCTGTGTCTGCTTCGGCGTCGCTGCCAGCCGGTCAGTATAAGTCGTTCCACAACGGGAATACAACTATCCCCGTCATGCTGGACTTCTCAAAAGGTGAGAGAGAGAGAGACTGAGAGGCTGAGAGACTGAGAGACACACACGCACACACACACACACGCACACATGCACACACCTTGACCTTGATCTTGCCCATTGCGTACGCAATGATAGCGAATGTCGGAAAGTTCAAGTGAGAACACGAGAGCAAAACTTGGCATGTCGTTTCAGGTCTCGTGGGCGACGAAACGGGCGTCCACAGACACAGAGAAGAGGATCAGGAGCGAGCCGTGGCGGTGGAGTGCTACTCGCAACTCGTCTCCAGCCGGGACACGCACACACACACACACACACACACACCGGGTTCTGGTCCTGGTAAACACTGTCATTGCGGTCACGTGTCCCCTTGCGGGGCCGACAACATGGAAACAACGAGCGACGGCAGAAAGTCGGCAGTCTGCCGGGAGATCAGGGACCATGTTCAATCGGCACGTCGAGAGAGCCACACACGCACACACACGCATGGATGCACGCACACACACACAGAAATGCCAACACTACAGTTACTGAACACTGTACAAGTTAGAGCACAGCAAAAGCACGCTTACCTTTTCATAGCCATACCGGTATTTCAAACTCGGTCCACACCTGGCCAAATCGTCTTGCTCCTGTTGTGTGGTCTGGCTATCTACAGTTGCATTTTATGAATTCCTTTGTTGAACCTGAGCTGGTATGTCATCACTTTTAAATCAAGCTTTTGCCGAACTGTTTGTCCGCTTGTCTGTGTGCATACATGTCTGTCTGCATACTTGATATGTGCAAAATGTCTATCAGGCGGAGATTGTAACCCGAACTCCAACCCATGCACGGCTAATGGTCGCTGCCAGGAGTCCTTTCCACGCCATCGGTGTGTTTGTGATCCAGGGTTTACCGGCCATGAATGTACACGTGAGTTCAGTATCCTGGACGGTCTGCTCCACTTCAGCCTAGTGTGATGTTATTCCTATTATTCAGAATTTCAGCATCTTCGTTTTTTCTGCGCTCATACAAATTTCACGTGTGAGTGCTCTATACGTGCAGGGCTTCTGATATCTTTGCTTCCAGCCTGGCAAGTTTTTAAATTTTGGTGCATTTTTAGCCTGGATGTTCCTAAGCTGGTCAATTTTTGGCGCCTGATGTTATTGTACCCATAAACTATGTGTGTGCGTGTGTGCATGTGTGCATTCCTCCATGTGCAGTTGTATACGGAGGCAGCACCGAGGTGAAGGGCGAGGATTACTGCGGGCCCGACCAGTATCTGATACCGCTACCCGACTTTGCAATGCACACCAACGTCACGACATTGACCGAGGCTCACCACCAGTGCTCCCAGTACGGCCTCACTCTGCCAACAGCGGCAGTAACCAATTGTTTACAGTCGCTGGCCTTCAAGGTGCTGTTCCCAGACAGTGGCACTCAGGAGTTCTTCCACCAGGCAAGCGATCAGAAGTACTATTTGCGCGCGTCTGACGGCACGGATCGCCTCGCCACAAAGCAGGACAACGGGAAGTTTGTTTGCTTTGGTGAGTGATTATACTATTACAGGTAGACTCCCTCTAATTCGAATATGGTATAATTCCAACCTTCCGTGTAATTCGAACTTTTTCGTCGTACCAATCGTCTTCAAGTCACTTCAAGTCTAATTCGAATGCATAATTCGAAGTACAAAAAGTGCACCTGCTGGATAATTCGAACTCTGTCTTGGTACAGAAGAGCAGTTTACAGTACCGTGACTATGTCCTTCGAGCGATTATTTAGAAGTGACATGGAGTTGCTCTACTCGTAATTCGAAGTTCATTTTTTCTCTTTCCCTTGCCAAGAGTAACTCAAAAATTGATCCCTGGTCCGCTCCAGGACCGACAATAGCGTTGAAGAAACCACCTTCTCTCGAAATTTGATCCAAGCCTGTGCAAGGCAAAGTGCGAATATTTGATTGAAATAAAATGTGCAAAAATAATCAGCATGCAATTTCGAGCATATGCTTGACATACCGTAAAGTCTTGTATAAAAGCCGCACTTGAATAGAAGCCACCGTCGAATAGAAGCCGCAATTTTGGGCCCATCAAATCACACATAAGCCTGGTTTTGGTGTTGACATACATAGAAATACCTGTCTCGTATAGAAGCCTGTCTCATATAGAAGCCTGCACAATTTCACCAAGAAAGTCATAGAAGCCGCTGCTTTTATACAAGACTTTACGGTAGATATCAGTACATGGGTTGCAGGACTGCATTTGGATAATTAGAAGTTCCGGATAATTCGAAGTTGGGCCTGGCAATTTGAGGTTCGAATTCGAGGGAGTCTACCTGTATTATCATTTTTACAATGGTTGTACTTGGGTTTGGAACGGAAGATGTCGGCTCTTCAGTAGGGTGTTACGACGATTTTTAAAGGTGCTCCGATCTCTTCGATTTTAGTCTCATTGGAAAGAGTAGGATAAACTAGCCGGGAAATATATGAGGTTTGTCTAAATCCGACCAGACGTTCAAGAGTTATGATCATTTGAAGTGCGCTTGTTGGCACTTTTGCTGGAACAGTTTTGATGCAGGCCAGTTGCACAAAACCGGGAAATTCAAAACCAACTTGAACAAGGTGAAAATCACAGATGATAGCCAATAGAGAGCTTCCATCACTTGACCAATTTTTTTGGTATTCCATCCAGCCAAATTCAAATTGCGCCCATAGCAACCACCATAGCAATGCATACAAATTAGTCGAAATAGATGCGAAAGATGTAACCCTTCACAGGCTGAAGCTAATTGGAATACGGGTACTACAAAGACGCATCACCAGGAGGAGATTACAGTTATCTACCCCATGTAGATGAAGCATCCAAGAAAATAACATACGCACTCAGCCGAGACGGCACCCGCACCCGGGCATGTTGCGCCGCGGGACCGGATGCATGCAGCCAATTAACAGGTATGCTGCACCATTGTAACACGATGTAAGCTTCAGCCAGGCCAAGGCAGCAGCAGTCCTGCTAATCATCAGCTTTAGAAGGACAACTTGTTCCCAGTCATATACGGCGCGTGCAGCACTTCGGGGCAATTGGTGTCGCACGTCACATGTAATTCATTCATACGATTTGCACAATCAACAGACAGTTCATTTATCGGATGATTGTGCAAGCGTAATTTGGATGCAAATTATGAAGTCGACAAATACACTCGCCCTACATTGCCCATGCTATGTGGATGACAATGTACTCCAGACACGGTACATACGGCATTGCGTAGCTGCACTGCGTTAGCGCGCTGCAATTTTGCAAATCCTCAGAGTGTCAATTCTGTGCAGATTTTCAGCTGCATATTGAACGCAGTATTGGCAGGAAATCTGTTCTTGACCAATTTGTCTGCACAATGGCTTTCTCCACTCTCCAGATACAGCGACCAGAGGTTTATCTGATGTGGTAGCTCAGCGAAACTACAAATAAACAGCACTACAGCCAAGTCCATTAACTCCATGTACATGTACATGTACATGTACTCCATACATTTGGTATCCTGGCGCAAATCGATCGCTCATAGAACAAGAAGACAGCATCGTACAGCCTCCAAATTTCACACACTGCGTAATTTTTCGACGCTGAAGACGATGGAATGGTCGCCGGCGTTGCGACCGGCCCAGAACAGGCCGAAATCGATACCCTGAAGTTGCGCAGGGCGTAACATTGCTAAAATTCGTCGTGTGGAAACGGGACTTATGGTCTCAACAGCAGAGACATCTCCTCTTTCGAACAAAGAAACAAACTCGTCCTGAGCTGCTAAAATTTTACCTTGCCAAGGCAAGAAGCACAGTGATGTACGATTGTGCCACGGACCCCGTACAAAACTGTTTCCACTCAAAATGCGCCTGGGTTCGAGGCACCGAACACCCTATCTTCAGTCCGTTGTGGTGAGACTTGTCAGACTTATCATCTCATCCCCATGGATACGTACTACAGTCCATTCATCGGAAGCTGTCCCGCTGGCTTTTGAAAGTCGGATGTGGGGCGAGTTGAGGATCAAAAACCCACTTTAAATCTCAAAAATCTGGGTTTAGGATCTGCTTCTCCATACATTTTGCCATGTCATACCTGTCCTAATTTTGTAAAACCTGGCCGAACTTCTTTTCCCTGTTCTTGGACCCCCGCTCAAGTTACGGCCCAGTACAGCCTTCGACACGCACGCACTTGCCACCTCCCACCCTCCAGAACCGATCGCTGTAAAGACTCCCCACTGTACAAGTCCCTAGAATGCTACAATGCCCTCCCTGCTAGCATTCGTGACATCTCCTCCCGACCTGCTTTCAAACAAGAAATCTGCTCACTGCTGATTAACTCAATCTGCTCCTGCAGCGCTCACCCGCTCCCATACTTGTAAAGTTCAAAGTTATGTAAATCACTTTCCTTTTTATCTTCAGTCCGTTGTGGTGAGACTTGTCAGACTTATCATCTCATCCCCATGGATACGTACTACAGTCCATTCATCGGAAGCTGTCCCGCTGGCTTTTGAAAGTCGGATGTGGGGCGAGTTGAGGATCAAAAACCCACTTTAAATCTCAAAAATCTGGGTTTAGGATCTGCTTCTCCATACATTTTGCCATGTCATACCTGTCCTAATTTTGTAAAACCTGGCCGAACTTCTTTTCCCTGTTCTTGGACCCCCGCTCAAGTTACGGCCCAGTACAGCCTTCGACACGCACGCACTTGCCACCTCCCACCCTCCAGAACCGATCGCTGTAAAGACTCCCCACTGTACAAGTCCCTAGAATGCTACAATGCCCTCCCTGCTAGCATTCGTGACATCTCCTCCCGACCTGCTTTCAAACAAGAAATCTGCTCACTGCTGATTAACTCAATCTGCTCCTGCAGCGCTCACCCGCTCCCATACTTGTAAAGTTCAAAGTTATGTAAATCACTTTCCAACTGTTTAACCCACAATCTCACCTTCTCATAAATTTATCTCTTATTGGCGATGGTGCCATCGTGAGAATAAGAATTCAAAAACCACGGGCACCCTAAATCCTGCCTAGATCTCGTCGTCACGGATGTAGACAGCGACTATGTCCTTATCTCTAGTCTCCCGCAGATCGGCAACTCGGACCACCTATCCATCAGGGGTTTAATCAAGCCAGTCGCTGCACCCCCTCGAGCCGTACCACCTCCCGCCCATAACACCACCCATTGGAAATGGTCAAACCAAAGCATCAGCAGTCTGAAAGCCGAAATTGAACGCACACGACTGCTACCGGAAGGTGACACCCTGAACACTACCAACATAGACCACCTGTGGCACTCATGGAAGGACAAAGTGCTCACTTGCGCCCGCAAACACTGTGCAGTACCTCACTCCCCGAGGCATACTAGCCACCCCGCAACGCCATGGCTGAACCCAGAGCTCACTAACGCCATCAGAGAAAAACACCGGCTCTACCGTGCCTACTTGCGCACCCGGACGCCCTGCAACTGGACAGCATACACCACCCAAAGCAACAAAGTTGCTCACCTTCTCCGAATCGCTAAGTCAATATATGTCAGTAATGGCACTGGGACGAGCCACTCCACACCAAACCTACACAAACCCGGGGCGAAATTTCAACCCGGGTCAAGCGCAGTGCGTCATGTAAACGCGCCATTCATTTTGTGTACATGGCGGGTTGAAATCTGACCCGGGTCGAACTCAACCCGGGTTGAAACGCTTCATGTAAACACAGCCTTATTGGCCACGGGCCATCGTGAGAATAAAAGATTTCAAACCACGCAAAAATTATGTTATATCGAGAGTTATGTTATGTAGAAAACCGTGTGTATAATACAAGATGTACCTCAAAATGAAGGGTATTACAAAGCGGGTTCAACCGTGCAAATATATACACCCTGTACCACCATCGACATCAGATACCATCAGTGCCGCAGAATATATGCTCAATAGGACTAAACTGGCTAGCTACGGCTGCAGCTTGATTGTACCGCACACGTGAATCTACATGTACGTTGTATCAAGCGTGCACATGTCGGGGACCGCGCCGAAGGGTGCGTTATGTCGATGTTTATGTTATGTAGGACTAAACTGGCCTAAACTGCCTAGCTACAGCTACCGCTTGATCGTACCGTTGTTGCAAAAGAAGGATCCACGAGCGGGATTCGAACCCAGCACCCCTGTCTTTCCGGGACAGTGCCCACCGATTAGGCTACCGGGGATCACACACACTCATGGGTCCTTCTTGCTACACTGCTCCCCCGCCCCAACAGGCTGTGTCCTCACGCCGTACCTACTCCCGGGGGGTACGATGGGTCGTGGGTTCGAGCCATTGCCAGGCGCCAATGTTGCAAAAGAAGGATCCACGAGCGGGATTCGAACCCAGCACCCCTGTCTTTCCGGGACAGTGCCCTACCGATTAGGCTACCGGGGATCACACACGCTCATGGGTCCTTCTTGCTACACCGTGCACGTGAATTAACGTTGTATCGAGAGTGCGTACGTCGGGGACCACGCCGTAACGTGTGTTATGTCGAGGCTTATGTTACCAGTATGTAGAATTACGTTGTGTAGAGCAAAATTTGTATGGGAGTGATGCTGTTTCGGCACGGTATTGGACTTTTTTTACGTACTTGCGAGGTTTATGGACAAGTGAGAGTTGCTATATCGAGAGCAGACCTGTACTGAAGAAAGAACTGCTCCCATTGTTTGTGTCATCATTCTTGTTTCTCTCTCTCTCTCCCACTCTCTCTCACTCTCACTCTCTCTGTCTCACTCTCTCTCTCTCTCTCTCTCTCTCTCTCTCTCTCTCTCTCTCACTCTCTCTCTCTCTCTCTCACTCTCTCTCTCTCCCTCTCTCCGTTTTTTCTTGACTTTCTGTGCAGCCGACTTGTCACAAGGGCCGGTCTTCAGCTTCGAGTGCGGTAGTGACAAATTCTACGTGCCGTCTTCATCCACGGTGCTGGGGGCTCTAACAACTTGGAATAACATCGATGCCATCTCTGCCGGGGCCCTACTGGAGCTGACGGATGTGAGCCCATGTATCAAGAAGATTACCCGTGACATGTATCAAATGCTTGGAGCACTTCCGTCTGCTAGGGTTTGGTCACGGAAGCAAGACGTCTCCATCACCCTGGAGCAAAGTGGCGGTGCTCAGGAACAGACGGAAGCAAGTGCGACGAAGTTGCTTCCCATATGCAAGGGTGAGGAGTGTGCGACATCGAGTGTGTGTGTGTGTGTGTGTGTGTGTGTGTGTGTGTTTATGTGCATGTGCATGTGCAAGCATTTGTGTGTTCGCTGTTGTGCGTGTGTGCATGTGTATGCATATGTGTATACAGTCGTCCCTCTCTAATCCGGCACCTTTTGCCACGGTATTTTCTGCTGGATAGACAAGGGTGCTGGATTATCAAATCCTGCCCTCCAACCCGGCCCACCTGTTAACATACATGTTTGTGTCGTACGTCAAAACGTATTGATTTTCTGTGTCAATCCAAGTACTTTGTGGGATGCATGTCTACAACATACATTTGGGAATATCCTATGCACTGGCTTAGGATATTCCCAAGTGTATGTTACAATGCTCCCTGACGGTATGCGATGTACAACTGCTGGATTAGAAAATCGAATTAGGTACAGTTTGAGTGATTTGTTGCAGAAAATCGCTGCTGGAGGCGGAATTCAAGTGCCGGATTAAAGCGTAGAAATTTACTAGAAAATGAACTGAAAATATCCGTTTTGCCAGAAAGTGTGCTGGTTTGCAAGGGTGCTGGATAAACAAGTGCCGGATTAGAGAGGGACGACTGTACTCTTATGTACGTGTGTGTGTGTGTGTGTGTGTGTGTGTGTGTGTGTGTGTGTGTGTGTGTGTACTCTATGCTTGAATATCTCGGACGATTTCACCGAGTTCAGTTTCCTTCATTTTCACAACAAACCTTCATCCCAGTTGTAATTTCTGCTTGTTTGTGTGTCTGTCCATCTGTGTTTGTTCACGCGGCAATCTCAGTACCCGCATTATGTCAGCCAGTCGCCACTTCCCACTTCTACATGGCTGACAATGTGACATCTGCTACACTGATAGCTCAGTTTGCCTATCCAGCAGGCTATCCGCAAGCTAAACTACCAATGCTCGTCAAATCCAACGAGTACCTTTTGAAAACCAGCACGTTCAGCAATTTCAGACTCCGCGACGACAATCCTACTGATCGACTGGTCTCTGTCAGCGCAATCAAGGACGATACACCGAGCAGCCGGTTGTTTGCATCCCAAGTGCATGGCATCGTCCAATTCACCAACAGCCATAACGGAGCACTCTGCAGGTCCGCGTTCACCATTCAGCGCCGAAACCCTCCGGATATCCGTGGAAACGCCCAAAACATACCCGTTCTTGCCAGGACGGACAGTACGCTCACCGTGGCAACCCTCGAATTCTCCGTGTCGGCCCCGGCGACCGGCCTCTCCAAGATCTCCATATGCTCCAGTAGTAACGCGAGCATTGCCGCACGGCTGACGTTTGTGGACATATCTAGCGGCCGTGGGCGTCACTACGCCGTGAATGCCGATTTGCGCGGCGTGGATGGTGCGTTTGTCACCCCTATGCTGTTGAGCCTTGATCTATGCGTTGATGACAATGGCAAGAACAAAACCACCACAGTAAACTCGGTCCAATACACGTCTTTACACGCCGCACGTTCCAGGCTGTCGATTTCGTTGAATTTCCAAGGTGAGTGCGTTTGTGCCTCCTCGTCTCAGTTTTCCCTCCTGATTTTGTTGTCATTTTGTTGTGTCCTGAAGCATGGATGCAGTGAAAGGGATTTTCGGTCTTTGACCACTTTATGGTGGGTCTGATCTACTCATCTCCCACCGCTTAGGAGCTGCATCTGCGCCTTGATCCTAGAGGGTGGTGGCGTTCCTGCCTTGATCCTAGAGGGTGGTGGCGTTCCTGCGGATGTGGAAAACTGGGCCTTCAGACGAGTCTCATGCAGACCGTGATTTTTTAAATCTTTTATTGCCTCCTTTTGCATGCATATTAAAGCCGGGCTTGTCCCTGCAGAAGCCAACATCCATGTATTATTGTTCACACAATACTCAATACTCAACGGAGGACATTCATTCATGGTTATCACTTTCAGACCGAAACAAGAAGAAGAGCGACACCCAAAGAGCCAGCACAGAAACTATGCATGCACGAACTGTACGCAGCACGTGCTAAGTCAACAAATAATGACTTCCAAAGTACAGATACCACATCATGCTAGGCTTCTAATCGAACCAGGTGTTTCTATGTACATCAACACGGACACCATGCTATGTATCACCATTGCGTCTCGAAAATCAGGCTTCAACTCAAGACACTTTGGTATGCAACACAGTGCATATGGGGGGGGGGGGGTGATCACTGAGTGTGAACGGAGCACTGTGCACCCGATCTTGGCTGGATTTTTGCAATACATTTGCACACACTAACTTAGGCCGCGGTCACACCGAGCTCGATTCAGCCGTTCAGCCGAAAAAAGCGCTTGTTTACGTCACTATTACCATGGAAATGGCTGAAAAATGTCCAACAAGCGACTTTCAGCCGTGGCTGACTCTCAGCCGTTTTTTTCCGGCTTGTTTCAGCCACAGCTTGTACAAGCGGCTGAAAGCCGAAATTCAAAAAATAAATTGAGTGCGCTTGGAGCACACCATGTAGCTAGTTGACATGATGAACTGATATTGATGTTCTTTCTTGTGTCCGTGGAACCGTGCTATCCCTGCGCCTTTGGTTTTGACCGTGAGTCTGTCTATCCAACTACACTGTATTCAGTTTGATTTGGATTTTGTCCGACGACCATGGATTTCTGCCGCTGTGCCTCTAGACTGCTGCGTAGATTGTTGGAGCTGTGGTTTGAGGCCAAGACAAGGCACCACACTCACGACCGAATTCATGAAGAAAGCCGGGTACGAAGAAGAGAGTGGATTGCAACTGAGTTGAAGAACGGCAACTGGCGGGGCAGAAAGCTCGACATCAGGAAACACCACCCGAACCATCGCGTCCATGCACACCGAACAAATAAAAAGAGCACGACTTCGCAATTCAGAATCCGGGCTTCCTTTGCTTCTTCCTCAAAACTGAACACAAGAACAAGTACAGTTTTAGATCGCGAACGTTCTGCTTTCCGGTTTCTTGCAAACATTGGTGTGCTTCGAGATATTCAAAATTTGGCGGGTAAGAAAAACAAGCCATTCAAGCTTTGCAGTCAAGGTCTGGTGTGACCGCGTCACAGGGACCACGCAAGCCAGCTGAGCGCCAGCGATAACAAGCCCAAAGTGGCTTGTTTCGGTGTGACCGGGGCCTAACCCACCCGCCCCATTTCACCTTCAAGCTAGCCACAACGCTACTGCTGTTGCTACATGTACATTGTGGCTGGTTGCCTATTGTGTTGTTTCCACCATTGCATACTGTAGATTTCGACATTGATGAATGTGCCACTGGCCAGCACCGGTGCTCTGAAAACAGCCAGTGCCAGAACAGCGAAGGCTCATACCGATGTGTCTGCGATCAAGGTTTCTCAGGCGATCTTTGCACTAGTAAGTCGACGAATGAAATTATTTGTTTTTCAAGCCTGGCTTTTGGTGTTTCTGGTAAACACACACACGCATGTGCATGCATGAACACACCATTGGCCCCCCTCACCGCAGGCGATGATAGCGATGCTACAGCAGAAGCCATAGCAGCTTGTGCTGGGATTGCACCATTAAACAACTTGCAAGGCTGAAGAATTGACTGCCATTATTCAGCCTGGTCTACACCACACAGCTATGAAGTGGCTCTTTCTGGCCAGTGAATCCCTACATTTTGGCTTTTTTCTTTTCTTTTTTTCCCGCACACATATCACACCACATACTCCGGTATGCACTGGCTGTTGGTAACCACCCAGGAGAATGAAAGAAAAGTCAGGAAGAGTCTGAGAAAGAGAAGAAAGATGTGTGTGACCATGATCGTCGGGAACCAAACCCATGAACGCACACACACACACACACACACACACACACACACACACACACACACACACACACACACACACACACACACACACATGCACAGATGCTCACATGCCCACACACACGTGCACACACACGCGCACACGCAAATAGTCCATCGGCCAAATCTCAGAAAGGGCCTCTTTCGGCGAAGGTGATGCACTGAAGCTCCAACTAAACGCCCTTTGGCACACTAGCTCATGAGACCCCATGGAATACGAATCCGATTGTTGGACGTTGCCAATCCAGTCCAGGATAGTCGAACTGGGTCGAATACCTTCTTCCGATTTTCGTAATTTCGTCCACCATTACATCTTTCTCATCGACTTTTTTTTCGCTTGGCGAATGTTCTTGAGCCGCTGAGCAAAACCAACGCACGCTCGAACACTTGAAATGCCTGCATGTTGACGGTTCGCAAGATTCTAGCGAGCTTGGTGGAAATCTATTATTTATTTTGACATTTTTGGGGGAATCTGAATTAGAACGGTAGAAGCTCATTCGGAGAAGACGGCGTGTCGCCGCTGTCGGATTGTCGCTACTGTGTTTCAGACGTATTTGCTTGAACGTGCTATTGAGGATGGACAGAAGATGAAGTGACGGCTTTCTTGAACACGGACGTTGTGTCTACATTGTAGCTGAAACATCTCATCTGGCGTCTAGAACGCAATTATTATGAGTTGTGAGTGCCAGCTGAGCTGAACACAAGCTGGACACCATTCGTCAGCTGGGAATTTGCATCGAAGCTCTTGATAGCCACGATAAGCATAATTATACAGAGGTAACCTTGTTTGACTCAATACGCATGCAGGTGATACCACTAGTGGCACTACAATGTAAATGGTGCAAAATTGATGCAACAGCGAATATGTACTTCGTACAATCACGAATAATTCATGATTGTAAGGCAAGTGCTCATGCCTGTCATAGAAGAATTTCAGCCCGGAAGTCTTATTGTCATGGTCATAAATAATACAGGACTTGAGTTGGCTCTGGACATAAACACACTTGTGGTGAATACGGTCATTATTGCGAGAAAAATATTTAGCCACTGTATGTTAACACCTGATGCCGCACTACACGCAATATTTCATGTACATGTATGTGAGACTCAATTGCATCCACAAGGCCGTAGATGCATGTAAGCACACAATGCTGTACAGTATAAGTACTAGTAGTAGTCGACATGTGGTGCCTTCCTGCTGCACATGCACATGCGGCAAGTTGGCAACGACACATGACCTATCTGCACCGCACAGCGTGAGCTTAGAAAGGAATATTGCACACATAGTGATATTTGTGTTCCGATATCGTTAAGCCGGTATACATGTACTAGTATCCTTATACATGTACCTGGTCACTCGATAGGCGATGCCGACTGTACTAATCTTATCCATATTACCCGACAGGCTATAGCACACTGCGTCAGATCACTATGCAACAAAACGAGAGCTTTGCCCGGGGCGAATATACACTGAAGCAAAGTAGGTTTCAACGGAACAGCACTAGTCACGATGAGGGGAGTTACGAGGATGGTTAGGCCGTGACACATAGATGATGATTGTTTAAAATGATTCATGCACGGTGGAAAATTACCATCAATGGCGATGATATTGCTTTCACAACAATGACATCAGTAGGAGCAGTGACACAACCTTACTGCTCCAAGTAGGATTTACAAGCGAGTGAAGGGAGAGCAGACTGGTCTAATAGCAGACCGGGTCTAAGCAAGGAAGTAATCGGCATCAGAGGTGAGCTGGCACATCAGAAAACAGATGATGATCACCAAACACAGAGAAGTTGGCTATGTGTATGTTTGTGTCACTGTGTGTGCATGTGTGTGTGTGTGCATGTGTGTTTGTGTGTATGCGCGCACATCTGTGTGTGAGAGAGAGGCAGACAGACAGATAGCATATGGTGGGAGGGATCAAGGTCTGACCTCAGAGTTAAATGCTGACGGTGTGGAATAGCAACAGTGCGAAATCGGGCAGGGTGGTTAATGGCCCACACTGGAGCCGAGTAGGAGCGCCAGTGGTTGAGGGCTAGCACAGGAGTAGCAGCAGCTCCAGCCTAGGAAGATCAGCTTCTGGATAAAAATCTCCCGGACACAGTAGGTACCAAGCTTCACTAGCAGATTGCCGGCAGGGGTGCACGGCGAACACTTGTACATCCCTCAAGCCACCAGAGCCGCAGGACTTGGAGACGATCCAGGTGCTTACCCGCCAACAATGCTGAGAAGGCACTGGAGCCATACAGGAACTTATGATCGAGCATGACCACAGACTTGAAATACAGGGTCCGGCGTTGAATACTGAGACAGCGACGTCTCCTCCACAGAACACCACTCAGCCCCACCATTGCATTATTTTCGCTTTTTCATGATTTTTACAATTGTGTTAGAGCACACAGCACTCGATGCAACATTTACCAGTGACTAAATAACTCCGCGTCTCCGACCATAACTGCAGCGTTCCCGTGAGCCTGTTGGATTTCCGTCAGCCTGTTGAGATTATCTTCATCTCGTCACATGTGAGCCTGTGTGTTTCATACGTATCGTGGCACAATTACACAGACACGATTTCCAACTCAGGCCGGTTCCGTTGCTCGAAGGGTTGGCGGTAAGAATTGCTACGCCGTCTGTGGCTGCATGGGAACTTGGCGAGTCGTCGTCTTTCTCCATAAATCCTGATCGTCACGCGAACAACAGCCACTATTGCCTAAAAACTACGACACAACAGTATCAAGCTCGCCCCAGCAGAAGGACACGAATGACGAGCGCTAAGACGGAGAAAGAGAGACAGGGTTAGCGAGAGCTGACTAGTGCAGGTACGCTGTCATCTCCTGAGGTGGTGGGCGAAGCAGCGAAGTGAAACGAAGGAAGATAGAACTTATTAGAAGGCATACGGAGGCACCAAAACCTATTGCCTGTCACATACTAAGTGCCATTTAGGGTTGACAGCTGTCAGCTGACAGCCTCAAAAATTTGAAAATCTGCTCAAAAAACTCTCGATCAGAACTCTGCGCACTCTCAAATGGAGCGCACAGTAAAAAACTCGGCGACGAAGAACGCTTCGTATCGACGCCCTGGACTGAATTCGGCACGTCCAACAAACGGAATAGTGTTCTCTGATATATTCTCTACGTGCTGGGTATGGTCGCGTTTAGTTGGAAGCTCAGTGCATCACCACTTTCGATTTTGAGACTTGGCCGGTGGACTAAAAGTGGAGAGGTCTCGACCTACTCATAGAACACACTGAAATTTGAGCAATCAAAAAATGTAAAATGAACGGGGTCGGCTGTATAGAAAAGTCCTTTTGCTTCAGCCTTGACGAACAAGGGCTGGAGAACGCAATATTGACATGGAAGGTGGGCATGGAACGTCCCACAAGGACTCCACAATGCGTACCCTCACACGCGACGAGCGCCGTGCTCGTCACATCACATACTCCAGCATGCCCTGGCTGTTGGACACGCACACACAAATACACTCACGCTAACACACACACTCACTCACACACACACACACACACACACATGCACACGTGCACACACACACACACACACACATGCACACGTGCACACACACACACACACACACACACACACATATTATGTACACACACAGACGTACGCATGCGCGCGCACACACACACACACACACACACACACACACACATACACACACACACAAACACACACACACACACAAACACACACTGTTCTTCTAACCCACTGTCTCTCATTATTCTTTCTTCCACTTGCGCAGTATGGTACGGTGGTGATGATATGGAATTACCCAATTATGACCATTGTAAGGCCAATGAGTACATGACCGTTTTGCCAAAGTTCTCAGTCCGTGATCCACAAAGTGTAGCAACATTGGAGCAAGCTAAGGCAGCTTGTGCGAGCTTCGGAATGACTATCCCTATGCTCGATCTCTCAGCAAGCGACCTGCCGCATTGCTTCTACAATATGGTTAATCGTGTCCTGTTCTCATTCAAAGATAAAGATGAGAAAGCGGCAAGCCCACAGAGGTTTTTCTTCCAGAAACCAGATGAAACTTACGCTGTAAAGGATCAGGTTGGCAAAGATCACTCCATTTCTGGTACTCAACTTGCTCACTTTGTTTGCTTCAGTAAGTACAATGCGGTGTATGGCTAGTGTAGGTCATGCTATACAAGTGCAAGCTTGGAACAGTTCTCGTCGGGAATGGCATTTTTCCTTACCTGTATTTGTTTCATTATCCAGTTCTGTACTAGAACAATTTTTTTTAAACTCAGGGAAATCATTTTATGTAGCATGCACCTAACATACAAAACAGTAAATGCAAAAACGGCAAGATTCCATGCAGGGCCCTTCGAAAGTCCTGCCTGCGTTCTCAGCCTAGCACCTATGCTTCATTCTCCACTGCACGTGATGCTGCAAGTCCAGACTTTGTGCTGGGAGGGGGGGGGGGTGCTTTCCCAGGCCCGGCGGAATCGGTCCGGTCCGGTTGGTCATGGCCGGATCAAACGTTTAGCCGCCAGAGTGTGCTTACTACCGAGGCGGTCAAGTGTATCCCCTCTATATCATACACTCTATATCATACACAAACTGTATGACAGGTTAGTAAGGTATGGCCGGACCAATCAAAAACTGCTTCCACCGGTCCTGTTTCCTGCTGTTTCTCTCACTGGCTGTAGCACCTGCAGGGAACATTGCTGGGCGTAACTGACATAATTGTGTGAGAGTTCAACATATTCTGCTACACGAGCTACCATCGTGGACATGGAAATCCGGTCGCACGCCTAGCGGCCCCAGGACATACCGTTCACACATTCATTTATGCGCTGCAGCACGCTGGTCGCATCGGATCAACATGTGCACTGCCTGCAACGTTCTGTACATACTGAGGGTGCCGGCCCCAGTCAATCGACTGGATTTCCATGTGCACGACAGTACATGCACGAGATAGTTGTAGCGACTTAGTTGTAGCCACTCCGGCGATGATGTTATAGATAAGTGTTCGCTCGCCAAACCGGAGCTTGTGCTTTTCTGCCGACTTCGAGTGTCAAGCCGGGGAATAACTCGAGCTGTGGTGTGGGAAGCGAACACCTTTCCATTAAGTACTACATGTGCCCAAAAGAAAAGAAGAAAAGCTCAGCCTATACCCAGCAGCATACCACCTGCAAAACACTGGCGATAATAGTGCAGGAACTCATGGGCAGTCCACATGCATGTATGTGCAGCTGTCTTGAAATTGTGGTCATCTATATGGTGTGTACGCGTGCATGTGGGTGTGCGTGTGTATGTGGGTGTGGGTGTGTGCGCGCATGTGTGCGTGTGCGTGCATACATGCATACATACATACATACATCTTGATCCTGCTGCCAAGTCTGGCTACGCAGTCCCCGAAGGGACAAGTCAAATGGTACTAGTCACCCTGCTGCATCGGTGGCGTGTCCAGCCGCTAGTCGAGCGGAAGGTCCGGTGACAGGCGGAGCACTCCAGGGGTGGTGCCGCTGTAGTTTGGATGTCAGTCAGTTTGCACTTGTGAACATACATACAAGCATACATACGTGTGTGTACATGCGTGTGTGTGCATGTGTACGTGTGTGCATGCCTGTGCATACTGATTTTGCTGATACATCTGCTCTTGATCATTTCTTCCGCAGCTGACACGAGTCTCAAGCACCAATTCAAGAGAAGCTGCAATGGCGTGAACGTCTACCTTGGGAAGCACTGGCCGCCATCCCAAGCAGCTGTCGACTGGAAAGCGGCTAATACGTCATGCAAGGGAAATCTCGTATCACAGACAACTATTTCTGCATGCCTCGTGGACTTTATGCGGTCAGCAAACCAGATGTTTGGTCTCAAGACGCTGAGAACCTGGTCGAATGTCCAGGATCAGTCCATTGGTGGCGAGGGGAATCTATTGCGAGATCTGGAGTTTGAAAATTCCAAGGCCTTGTTTCTTCCGGTTTGCGCAGGTACTGTGATGCTTGCCCACTGAGTAACTAGGGACCTGCTTTGTTGCTAGCTTATCAATTCTCCACACTCTCTTCGTTCACAGTCACGAATACATAGACACACAGACACATACATATCTGCACCCGCCATTGACCATTAATGCTGACGCCCATCGCCGGAGACGATGATAGAAGCCACAGCAACTTGTGCTGGGATTGCGCCGTTAAACAGCTTGCAAAGCTGAAGAATTGACCGCCCCTATCCAGCCTGGTCTGCACCACACAGCCATGAAGTGGCTTTTTCTGGCCAGTGACCCCCCCTTACACACGTACACACACACACACACACCTGGTCCTGGTCCTGGTAAACACTGCCATTACGGTCACGTGTCCCCTCACACACACATACACACACACACATACACACACACACACACACACACACACACACATGTACACACACACACACACACACGTACACACACACACACACCCACACCAGGGTAGGATCCATGATTTTCACAGGGAGGTTCATATTTCTCCCACCCTGCAGACCATAGTGTTCTAATGATGACATAATTATTATGCAGGTGGAATCCTGATAATTGATTATTCGAAAATCCCGCTTTATCAGAAGTTTTTCCAGGACTGATTTCTATCAATACGATTCCCACATAAGAATTTCTAAAAATTTGAACCTCGAACTGGACATTTTCAGTTAATTCGAAGTCCCACGGATTCCACTTACATAGAAAATGTGTGGGATTCGTGCTTATCATTCATTCGAAGTTAGCAAAATGTAATTCGAAGTTCACTGTACACTGTACTGATCAGTTCAGTTTGCATGAGCAGGCTGTGCCGGTCAGTTCGGTATCCGTGAAATTTGTGTCTAAGGTCCATAGCGCAACTCTGCGTGACCATGAGAGCATTTTGACATACATAATTGTGTTGTGGGTTCATGTTTGGATAATTAGAATGTCCGGATGACTAGAAGCTTTATCCTGGCATTTTGAGGTTCGAATTATCAGGATTCCACCTGTACTGGATAGTTCTAGACTCTTTAAT